GAAATGGTAAAGGGGCGTCTATAAATTAGTCTTCCGAGAGTACAAATAGGGGGCAGACTGACTCCATGGGGGACAACTGCTGATGCTGAATTCCGATTTTGGCTTCTCTGTGGTGCTGTCATGGTCGCAAGCCTCTCATAGAGCGTCTTAGAGGTTCTCTCGAGAAGATTTTTGAAAAAATGAATTGATTTTGTGCATCATTCTGACACATATTTTGGAGAAAATTAGATTTCTTGAAAATAAAGTGGGGGTACAATTGGGAGTGCAAACCACTTTTCTAGTGGGGCAAATGCTCCCCCTGTATCCCCACTGGCGCCGCCACTGATAAATCTTCGTAACCCAATGGTTAAATGGTGTGTAGGTCCTTATATATATGACTCTTAATTTTTCAGATAACTTGGGCCTTCATCGTATTGAGAATCCGAGTCATTCTGATCCAGCAGTTACTCTTCATCTGTACTCTCCACCGTTTTCTGAATGTGATAGTTTCGATCAGCGGACAGGACATAAACAGAAATGCAAAGTTACGTTTTGGAGCAAATTTGGTCAACGAACACCATTTGTAAGTAATTATATAAAACAATCTTATATAGATACTCCTTCACACTTTAAAATAACAAAGGGGGCTCAATGAAACGTGCAGGGAGCCGCGGTGACTCAGTGAGTTAGACGCTTGCTCGCTAACCTGAAGATCCAGGGTTCAATCCCGGCATAGGTCGAGGTAATACCTTCGGATTTTTCAACCCGGTTTCCCCCCTATCAGAGGGGCTGACATGGAAAAAGCGTCTAGTCGTTCGGATGGGACAATAAACCGAGGCCCCGTGTGCTACAGGCTATGCACGAAAAAGAGCAGGCTAATGCCGCTGTCCTGGCAAAATTTCCCTCATCGCACCCTTCATGTCGTTGCCCGTCTTCATTAGCCCACATGGTGCACAAAAGTAGGACGTAAAACATTCATTTCATTTTATTTTCATTGAAACGTGCAAGGACATAAAAAATATAATGACTCTACAAAAATGTATGATCATACATTTATGCTGAAAAATGTGCCCTACATTTTCTTATAAGGCGAGTACTCGAAGCAAAAGATCATTGGTTTTATTTTCACCTGAGTCCTTTGCCAGTGGTACAATATTCTATCATCCTACCTTATATAACTACGTTTTGATCAGATTCTCGGAATATATGTTATATTGTGATATACCATCTTCACGATGTCAAGGTATTACCTAATACCTGGACATCATTTTTTGTATACATCCAATCAGAGAGACTGTAATCAATGTAACTGCCATTGTTTAAGATGGCCTAGACGATGACTCTGATTGGCTGTATTCATTAGCATGCAATCCAATCAAATTGATCCTTATACATACAAACTTATCGTCTGTTGTTGCTTCTATCTTTGTTAGGCAAGAATTTTGACAATAATGTTTTTTTTTCTCTGTCCTTTCAGGGAAAGAGAGGAACTTGCCAAGAAGCTCAACAATATGCTGAAAATAATTAGATACTGTAAACAGAATTTGCCTTACTTTTTGAATGCCAATAATAATATTTGCTCATTTATTTTAAATTGTTATTTTTACTAACAAAGTTTGACTTATTGCATACCATGATATAGATTACAATAATGTTATAATTTAGAGTTGTTAAATCTTTATATCGTATTTATTTATTATAAATAGTGTATATATCATTATATCACAGTGCTGTGCCTTAAAAGGATTCAATCCTAACTTACTAACGCGCCCAATTCTCACCTCGGTAGCACAATTTTTTTGTAATGTAAACAAACGCAAAGGTTGCATGAATGGAGAACCAACCCTCATTACAATTCTGAAGAGAATTGGCATATTTAATTGCCTTTCAGTAAATGATACATTCCAAACATGTAATTATAATACAAAATATGCAAAACAAATCATTCATTGATGTATATACATACAACTATAAATAGTACACATGCCTTCTGAAAATCATCGGAAGGATGTACCAGTACACCCGATAACATATAGCATTTTTCTGAAGTCAGGTTTTTCAGATAGCTTAGTTTCTCTCCTATATTTGTTTGTATTACATACAAATTATTCACATTCTTTGAATTTTATTATATGGTTCATGTTCTTGTGTGATGTACACTGTTTTATTAAATAAAATGTCTACGATGAAAATTGTTAATATTTGTGATAGTGGGGTATAGCCTTATAGTTTATAATCTAAAATATTTGTTATTTTCAGCAGCCACATCATGTTTTTAGAATAAAAATCGACACCCGGTTCTTCTACATTCCCTTCGATATCATGACTAAATTGGTCTTACCTGATCGTGAAAGTCTATCAGACATAGGATTCTGAAAAGTCTATTGGTAGCTAAAATTAAGGAACTATCAGTGGATAAAGCAGATATTTAAAAGACTATATGTGATTTCATTTCTTATTATCACCATCAGAATATAACATGCGCTAAATTGAGCATTGCTGGTGTTGGAATTGTGAAACATTTAAGTCGGTAAGGTAGCGCTCGATTGTAGAACCCTGCGCAGTATTGAAACGTAAATTAAATGTGTTTCTATTTTGAATCTATTTTTTTGTTCACAATTTTGAATTCTGTCTACACCTGGCACACGTGGAATGCGTTCAGAAATTTGTTATTGAACGTCCGGTTGATTCCGCGAATCCCGTACGAACAGAACTCACGCGACCCCCTTATGTCAGAGTACTTTAATTCGAGTTCTCTCCCTTTAACTATCGGATACTTTGACAGTTTAGTTGTCAGAAAATTTTCCGGGTGTGGGGGGCAGGGTGGGTGGCTGCTGTAAGCGAGGGTGTTGTACAGCAAAACTCCTTATAAAACAGTTGGAGTCAATTCCTTCTGTTATTTGGTGCTCAAAGGCCTTCAGTACTAGGGAAGCTTGTCTTGGTTGAGACATGCTGCGTCGCGTAGGCCCAATACCAACCGTCAGAATGAAAACAAAATCTTTAGTGGCTTAATTATAAATTTTCAAATAATCTTAAAATCATCCATAAGTCAAGGCAAAAACCTGAAACAGTTCATCAAGTTATCATGAAATTCAAACATGAACAATGTCTCATCGCTGTACACACAAGGGCAATAACTCGGAAACTGTTGATTCGATTATTACCAATTTCTAACTTGACCGAGATCTCATCAGCTTCATCAAGATTTGATAAAAACTGTAGTCTCTATCGTGCCTGCAAGCTGAATTTGACAAGTTTTTACTAAGTCAAGGGCAAGAACTCCGAAACCCTTCATCCGATTGTTACCAATTCCGAACTTGACCAAAATCTCATTAATAGATAGATGCATACCAAGTTTCATCAAGATCGGGTAAAAATTGTAGTCTCTATCATGCCTACAAGTCAAATTTGACGAGTTTTTACTAAGTCAAGGTCAATAACTCTGAAACCGTTCATCCGATTATTACCAATTTCGAACTTGACTGAGATTTCATCAATATATACATGCATACAAAGTTTCATCAAGATCAGATGAAAACTGAAGTCTCTATCGTGCCTACAAAAGGCAAATTTTATGGGTTTTTACTAAGTCAAGGGCAATAACTCTGAAACCGTTCATCCGATTATTACCAATTTCGAACTTGACGGAGATCTCATCAATATATATATGCATACTAAGTTTCATCAAGATCGGATGAAAACTGTAGTCTATATTGGCCTACAAGGCAAATTTGGCGCGTTTTTACTAAGTCAAGGGCAATAACTCTGAAACCGTTCCATGTGGCGATATCTGACTCTAAACTGTAAAGCTTAGGAAAGGCAGACTTCTGAGTGTATAAGCTTTTTAGCACAGTACTCGAATCTTGTGTGTTGGCGATTGGAAGATTGGATTTAAGATATTCTCGTGCTACAGAGGGCATATCTAGTTTTAGATGTTCAGATAACGGTAAAAGAACAGTACGTTCCAAAAAGTTCGATGATCCTCGCGACATGGCTCGAACGGATTTATAGAGCCAACTGTTGTCGGTGAAACGAGAAACACCCTTAAAATCTCAATTGTGCCTGCGCTTCCATAAATTAGTCCCATTGATGGCAGGATTTATTGCATCAAACCACACCAACTCTTGACAAGACTCTAGTTGCAAAACAAAAATCGCCGATCATGGCCCTTCGTGTGCCCACATCCTTAGATTATCATTTCGATTTTCCCTTCCGCGATGGTCGATCAGTGCATAAGAGTGTGCATTGTATATACACGTATTTTGTAAGCTGATTAGGAGGTATGCTGTTAAGTATAATGTGTCCCATTTCTGGACCTTTATCCATCAGGACGTCACCTTTCAGTCATATATAATTCAATCACGGTATACAGAATATCTTGTTAAAGGGAGGTAACAAGTTTAAATATCATAAGCCCACAACTATGTTGCAGTAACCATACGGCTCTAAACCATCAACCAGGACACCTCTCTCCGACAAAACTCTCGACAAATCTTTTCATTAAGAACAGTTTGAATCCCGGTATAGCCAACTATTACACTAAACTTGTCTCAATCAAGGAGCATCCTTCAGCAAGCAGAGCCGACATATTCAAATTTTATAATTAGGATACACTTGACTAGGCCTTGACAAAGGGGCCTACGATTGTGGGTCTGAATGCTAATTCTTACACTCCCTGTGATTTCTGTTTACATTAATCATCATCTAAAAATTTGAAGGTTTTCAATTAGTACATGTATACTCTTATCAATTATTCAATTTATGGTTAAGGCCTAATGCTGTGTGCGCGCACGTGCATTCTACAAGACCGACAAGGTCAGGATATAACGGTTGAACCTATTATTAGAATAGCCTATCGGCATTATATGATGATTCACTCTAGTCGTAAAATGAATAATAATATAACAGTAAAATTATGATCGATTATACCAACAGCATTCCTCACCCACAACTGACGTCACACGTCAATTTATGTAGCAATATGGCCTAATAATATAATAATTATTGAAATAACACACATACTGTCATTAAATATACTTTATATGGGAAAAACAATACATAAGAAAAAGTCTTAGACTAAATGGAATCTGAATGGAAAGCGCAGCATAAGAAGGCAGACATTTGTTGAATGACCTTGACGTTGATTCATCGATTAGGTCATGAAAAAGTTGAGAGGAAACGATTCCAGTTAAATTATGATAATGAGCAAAGATGGCGGCTAGTCGACGATTTTAAGTGAGGGTTGTCGACGTAGTTTGGATTTACTATACAGGAATTTAACAGAACAAACGTTACTTTGTATAAATATAAAAAGGTAATATTATTTCCTCTGTTTCTTTATATTGATAATGTGAGACCTGTATATCTAACTGGAAATGTAAAATGCGATACATGAGAATTGTCCCGTGATTAATATATCACAGTCACGGTGTTGTCCAAATAATACCAATCCAATATTGTTAGACAGTGCCATATACACCATAGTCATAACGCCTTCTAAGAGAGAATATATATGTTTGTGGTAAGTTATCAAGTGGTATAAAGTAAATTTATAAACATGAATAAGTCTAATAACTATATTGTTTTTATTTGGTTTACCTTGTGAAATATCATTAGAGAGTATTGAATTATGGTAAAAGTTATACTAAAATAGATTTATCGTCACTTTTTTAGATCAACAAATTGGATGCTTGATTTTCTCACATGAATGTAATATCAGTATTAAACACAATATATTGGTTTACCACAATTGAAAATTTATTAAATGTCACCTAATATTGATCAATTGTAATTGCACTGACCTGGAACTACAACTAACCTTGATTCTTTTCCTTTATGATAAATGTGAAAGGTTTTAAAAGCATGGAATAATGGATTTATGAAAGAGATTTCTTGAATATTTTTTTTACAAAGTTATTTGCAAACACTAAACTAAATGAATTGTAACATTATCTTAATCTGAGTGATCAATTACTAAAATTGATTTTTAAATCAGATTTTATTAATTATATAAATTACAATATTTCCTAAAACAATATTTTAAAGCAATGACAGTGACTACCAGATGAAATATTTAGACATCAGATTTCATAGTTCAGGCCATTTGGAAATAAACATCATTTTCTAGAAAAGGTTGCAATTGATAACAAGCCCAAAAGTTTAAAATATTCTACCCAGCTGGTGCCTATATCAATCTACAAGAATCTGAATGGTTTGTTTACCTTTATATATTTTAGAGTGTAAATATAATTGAATGTATTTCAATGTCTCTACAATATCTTCACCATGTCTGCTGACGTCATAGCGATGCAGTGGAAATGGATTCTAATGAAAATATTACGGACATTACGACCCAATCCTCTGATACGACACGTCAGGTAAATATATTTTTCTATCCTTCAAATCTTTTCTACTTTCAAATCAAAATTTTGTGAAATACTATAAACCTTCAAATAGGGCATACATAAATGGAATAATCTGTGTTATGGTTGTATCATGATTAGATAATGGATATTATGATATCAAAAGACTTATTCCCCATGTACGTTGAGGAACATGCACTTATGTCCGAGTTTGGGAGAGCATTTCTGTGAGTTAGCCAGATTTTCCCCCAAAGTGTTGCTTAAATGTCAAAGTTCATCCAACTTCTGATTCAAATTGATTTATGTCTTAGGCATTTTGCTGTTTGTGGTCAATTTTAGTGATTTTAGAAAAGTTCATTTCCAGTAATTTATCCTGTTCATATTTTTAACTACTCTTCAAACTACATTTCTATCAGAATTCACTTCAAACTAGCATTTCCATCTATTATCAACATCAATGACACATATGGGAGGACTTGGGACTTTTGATTTGGTTTAATAAATTTTTATCAAAAGTCAGATGTTCACAGTCCAATATTCAACATTTCTTTTTATTTAACCTGTTCAAAGCCAGAAGTGGTTCCTCAGTGTACAGCAATGAAACAAAAGCATATCAGAATATATAACAATGTTGTGTAATTGGCACATTCTGTGGAAAATAGGGTGAAAAATTCAAGAAAGAAAAAAGCAATTTAGATCAGTAATTTGTGTTATTTGTGATATAATGAAAGATATTTAGTTTATGGTAATTTGGTATATATTCCTCCAGAGTATAATGCTATATTGTCAATTAGACTAGGTTGCTATGGTAAAACCTCTCTGCAGCCAAA